AAAGCAGAAATATGTAATTATAGTCTCTACCCCAGGGGAGTTTAAGAGAATCTGAAGCAGGACTTGTCCAGTTCTCTACAAGTAAAAAATACATTTGGACAGCTAATGTACTTGACTGTCCATAAGGCAAGTCTTCTCTCTTCCAAACACACACTTCACTTTTAAGCGTGTTTTGAATTGAATTAACATCTGCAAGCATTTTAATATCTCTGTGGGGCGACAGGCACTATGTAGATGTAAAAGTAAATGAACTGAGGTATTTTTATCCCACATAGGAAAGGGTCAGAAAGTTAAGGTTACAAAAAGTCTGTTTCTTTAAGCTGAGAACTATTAACATCAAACATACCAGTCCACCTTAAGCTGTTCTTGGAATAGAAAAGAGCCATTGTGTCTATTCAGTCATCTGAAAAAAGGAAGGTCAAAAGGGATTGATCGATTACCAGTGAGGTTGTTTTACTGTACACTAATAAAGCGGTCTCTTGCTGATCAGAAAGCAACTTTATTTATTAATCTAATTTTTTTTTCTGGTTGGATTTTATGTTGTAAACCACTCTTGAGTCTTGACCACCTTTTTTTGTGCAAAATACTGTAAGTGCTCTCCTTACCTACGGTGTGAACCCTATGTATCATCTGCAGGGTTTTGCACCGATTTTGGAGGAGTCATGGGAGAGTTAGTGGTCTCCAGTTAAAGGTGGGCTTGAGTAAAACCCAGGATCTCAACCGTCAACGCTGAGGGTGTTCAAAGTCTAGGTTACACTTCTGTGAATGGCCTCTCTGTACATAATGGGTTAAATCAGAAACTGGGATTCAAACTTTGAGGTAGATGACATCAGAGCTGGGTTGAGCTCATCCTTAGGGTATGTCTACATTGCAATGAGAGATGTGACTGCAGCACATGTAGACATTGAGATAGCTTTGAACTAGCTTTAGCTCAGACAACAATAGCAATAACGCCTCTGCAACCCCACCCAGGCCGTGGGTATGTACTGAAGTGGCTTACTTGTGCTGCTCTCCATGCTGCCATGACTTCATCGCTATTGTTTTTTGAACTAGTTAGATCAAAACTAGTTTTGATCCATGTCTGCATTTGCTGCAGTCACACTTCTTATTGCAGTGTAGACATACCCTTGGTCTTTGTCTACACTAGCACTTTTGTCAGCAAAACTTGTTGATCAGGGGTGTGAAAAAACAGCCACCTTCCTCTCCCGACCAACATAAGTTTCACCGACAAAAGCGGCATGGAGAGGCTACACGAGATCTTTCAGCACCAGAGCTGCAGTGGTACAACTGTCCTGCTGTAAGGTTCGTAGTGTAGACGTAGCCTTAGGATAGTCCATGAGAGGGAGGGACCTGGGAATTAAAAATTGCTATTAAAATTCCTTATTTTGATATTAAGTGACTAGTAGGGGAATCCTCTGGGGGAAAGCAACAAGTGAGTGGGTGGTGGTATTGTGGACAACACTACTGATTTTTGGCCCTGTGCTCATAGCACTGTTGGAAGGGTTCCAAAGCTCACTTCAAACATAGTTCTCATTTAAACTAGTTGATTAACACTAGACAGTGACAAATTCTCTTCAAAACGCTTCCCACACATCAGTATTACTGTTTACTTTGCACAGAGATATTTGATAAAAAAAATATGCCTAATTGCTTAACGTGGTTTTCATAAACCATTTTCAAATTCGTTTTGATTCTCCTGATCAAATTACATTACAACAGAGCTTAGTAAGGTTTTTTTTAATACAAGACTGTAGTCATTTGCTCTGTCTTGTGGCTATTGGTTTGGGAGATGAAAGTTGAAAAGAAACTAGATATATGGCAATTTTTTTAACCAACTGAATCTCAGTTGAGTAGCCAGTATCATTTGGGAAGAGAAACATGGAAAACATTTTTAGTGTTATAAATGTAATTTATATCTAGTCTCACTATAGGCAGCAGTCAAGTAATACATAATATGAACACATTTGGTTCATATTTTAGGGAAAAAAATAAAAGGGCACCAATACCTAAAATGAGAAATATTAAATATCACTTCAGTAGAAAGCTAGTCAAAATGTACATATTTCAACACATTGACTGAATATTCCAATTTTCATGTTTAGGAAAAGGATCAGTGCAGTCTTGACTTAAATAAGTACAAGTTTGCCTGTCATTAACTAGACAAGAATGAGCACTATTCTTCAGTTAACTGACAGCAATATTCAGGGCCAGCCTGGGGGGAGAGGGGGGGGGGCAATCAGGGTGGCTGCCACATTGTTCCACCACTCAACCCCTTTTTCCCCCACTCATGGCACTCTAAACATCCTAGAGCGGGCCCTGACAATATTGTTTGTATCGATCAAGAGATTCCAGTTACATAGTGACAAGGAACCTTTTAAAAAGATCACTGCTTCACAGAAAAGAGCAACAGGACAGATCTCCGTATTCAAAAGAGCAGTGTGTTTCCCTTTGCACAGGGTTGTGCATTAACATTTTTGTTTGTAAAGCTTAGCTGGGCATTTTATAGTCTCCTGATCTTTACAAATATGTAAAGAACATAAAAATTTAAAGGTTCTGCTGGTGAACACGTAACTAAAACCCACAGCCATCTCAGAAATCCTAGCTTTGTGACCCTCAATGTAACTGGATACCCATTTTACGTGCTGTATATAGGTTTTTTCATATTCTCCAGTGGAATTGGCATGTCCTCTGGTAATCCTTATCGCAGAAATAAGCACTGAAGTTCTTCAGAATTCCAGGTCCTGACTCATGTTATAGATAGATAAGTCACGTTGAGACAAGTCTAAAGAACATTTTAAAGGGGCACTTGGGTTAAACATAATTTTTTTTTAATTCCTTGCATGTTGTTGATACCAATTTAAGTTAATAAAATTGAGTTTCCCTTTCACTGTTTATGCTGTTCAGTATTTGCAGATCATTGAGGTTTACAGTGAAAGTAGAACAGCCAGTTTCACATTTGGCAGTCAGTTTCATCTCCAGATTCTGATTGCACTGCTTCAGTGCAACTTTGCAAATGTTTAAATCAACACAGTTTGTTATTTTGTTTTAAAAAACACTAAACATTTCCATTTGGATCTTGTAAACTTAAATTTTGGGCCTGAAAATGACTACATTTTTTTAATAAAGATGCACATAATATAGAACAATGGTTTTCAACCTTTTTTTCATTTGTGGACCCCTGTGAAATTTTGAATGGAGGTAATGACTTCTTTGGAAATCTTAGACGTAGTCTGCGTACCCCACGGGTCCACTGATCACCAGTCGGAATCCACTGATATAATGTGTTAAAAACCTAAGTAGAGTGTACACATTTCTTTGCCTGCTTAATGCTAATAAATACATGGCTGACTGGTCATATTGTTTCTGCTGAATATTGCAGTAGAACTGCTATTGGAATATTTGCCCACAAACTATTGCATCTTTCTGCTTAGGTACTTAAAGCTTTCACCAAAGCACCCAGAATCAAACACCGCTGGAATGGACATCTTTGCCAAATTTTCTGCATTTATCAAGAATTCCAGACCAGAGGCCAATGAAGGTAGGAGACCTCAGTCCTGTAATCTCTAGTGCCTGGTATTTCATTGGGTTGTGGGTTTGGCAAGAGCAGCTGTCGTTCTTTCTCTTTCATATTCGTTCTCTTTTGTTTTTTTCTTTTGTTTTCTCTTTCTCTTTTCCTTTTTTTTTTCTTTTGTTTCTCTTTTGTTTTCTTTCTATTGTTTTGTACTATTTCCCCTTCTACAAGGTAGAACATGGTATGGTAGAGGTTGTGTCCAGACAGCACTGCTGATGTCCACAAATAACTTCCCTGAACTAAACATCCCTTGAATCTGATTTTGCTCCCAGAAAGTCCAGGGCTACCCAGATCATCTCTTTGATGGGTGTGTTTAAACTACATAAAGACACTATTTCAGGGCAAACTAAGGTATTGTTGGCAGTTCTGAGGGCTACACATGTAACATGGGACAGCACTAATTTCACTCTCTGTCCTCATCACACAACACTTAACCTCACTTCCTTTTTCCTCCTAGGGGCAGCTGATGTCAGTTACTAATTCTGGACTAATTTGATGGTCCTATTAATTGAGGGGTTTATGTCTTGCAATTCATTTGTTACTATTGGTACCATTAGTGGACCTGCCCCTTAATTACTGGTGCATTTTAAGGGTGTAAAACACACAAACAAGCTATTTTAGTTTGTAATGGCTGACTGTAAATCTTAAATCATATTAATCAAAATCTCCATGATTGGGGAGGTGGCTATTAGTCTTTTGAGTTAATGATCTCCGAACCAGTGACTCCGAATCTGCCTTGAGAGAACCAGACCAGTTAGGCTGTCTAGTCAAACTGACTGTCTAGACTGTTGTAAATACCCATTTGGGGAATTTAACCATGAGATGCAACTTCTTTGAAATGTGCCGTGATGCTCAACTTGCCCCCATGCAGCCTCCCTGTGACATGCTGTAAACTGACTCTGTAGATAATGCGTTTCAACATCTGAATTTTTAGCCAGATGTACACTAAACTTATGGGCGTCTTGGTCACCTGGTCACGCTTTTAAACTGACAGTGTTCCTTTATAGTTAATCACATTTACTTTGAAATATTCTGTGTATTTAGAGACTACTTCTACCCTGGAAGCTTACTTTGGGTTCCCCATTGGCAACTAGTGGCCTAACATTCAGAAATGCTAAATATCCACAATTCCTGTTGATTTCATTTGAGGCTGTTGGTGTTCAGCACTTCTGAAACTCCAACCCAAGATGGGTAGAAGCAGACTTCGGCTCTTAAACTGTGCACAAAAATTCATTAGAAACTGACCTGGACAGCATTAGTAATTCTTAGTAATTTATTGAAAAGCAGAGATGTGAAATGCATTGATTTGCTGTCCATGATACAGTTAAGGACTTGTGTGTAAAACCGGGGTTTTAATTAACCTTTAACTCTGAGAATGAGTGTACTTTCCGATAAACTAGTGCTGAAAGTGTTCAATGCCTTCCTGCAGTCGCCTGAAGGCCTCACTCCCTCCCATCTTCAGAATCCACCTTCACTCCCTTCCCCCACTGCTATAAGTTTCCAGTTTGAGTGCTGTGCCACTGGAAACTGGGTAGCATTTTAACTCTTAAAGTGATCATAGGCTCATTAATTTCATGATTGAGAAAAGTCGCAGGGAACATTAAAGTATCAGTTTAATATTAAACATCTGTAAATTCACATTTCTCTTCCTTTCGGTCTTGTATCTTGCTGCTGCTTGTTTCAACCTTTGGTTTCTCTGAGCAGCTCTTCCCTAGAGCTAACTCTGGTCTAGATCCTTTGTCTAGCAAATACAAGCTGCTTTCATCCCAATTGGTATCCTGCTGTTCAAAGGTCAGTTGCAATCTTTACATCCTCCAGGTAGCCTCTGCTAGCTGG